ACACACACACACACAGAGAGAGAGAGAGAGAGAGAGAGAGAGAGAGAGAGAGAGACATTGACTACCCCAGACTCCCATCCTACTTCCTCTCTCAATATATCTCCTGGGGTGCCCCCTACTCCTTTTCTATCTTATGTCATGCGAGGAACATCACTCTTTATTGCAGCAACCTGACCAGACAGCGGACGCGGGCACTGACGCTGAATGAGCTCCGCCATTCAGCCTCAGTTGAGGCACTCGCGTACAAGCCTCGTTATACGGGTACCTCAGGAGCTAGGCACAAAGTTCTCAAATAGTCCCGTGACCAGTGAGGGCACCCATAGGCAGTGTCTAATGGTCGGTTAACCAAGGCATGAGCCCCCCTACCTCTAAGCACTAACCTAGAACAGCGCGGTTCATATATGATACTGTTGGTTGTTGAATATGCTGGTTAAAATAATAATAATAATAATAATAATAATAATAATAATAATAATAATAATAATAAAATGCTGGTTTTTATGTGAGCTAGTGTGATATCATAGTACGTGGTTGTTTTCTGCTACTAATGACCCCTGCTTATGTCTGTTCGCTAGGGAGAATCGACCAGTGGTAATGGTGGAGACCTCGACCCTCATCAACTACCCCCAACCAACCGCTGATAACACCCCCCCCCCAGAAAGGGTCTACAGCCATCTAGAGTGGGACACAGCTCTTGATTCGACATTGGTTTCCCTACAAGGCACCCCTGCCCACCATAGGACTGTCAGGGTATCACCATGCACCCAAACAACCCCTTACCACTCTCTGGCCCTGAGAGAGTAGCATCCATCCCACATCAACTCTCCCACAGGAAAGGCACACGTCCCCACCCAAACACGTTCAGCGGATCATCCCTAGCTGATATGACAAACAGTATATATAGACATGATGAATGAGCATAGTATGGAGTTCAACTTGAACCCTGGGACCTCCAAGTTACAATATCAGAGCTCTACCCACTGAGCTATTGAGGTCATTAGTCCGTAAAGGCGCTATGCCAGGGTCGTGACAAGCATGTGGGGTGCAACCTACAGGTCCTACACCAACCAATTGTGCTCGGGGGAAATTGTGGCCCGACAAAGTCGAAACCCCAACCACCCCATTGTAACACCGGAGCTGTGCCCACTGAGCTACCACGCACTTGCTTACCAACTGGTTGTCTCGAAGGTAAGACTCCAAGCATGCCACAGGCA